ATACGATAATTTCTAGGACGAATTTGATTTTAAAGTGGGTGAAATATACAATGGTGAAATGCAGGAAAGGGAAGGAACTTTATTGCATTCCGATGTAAATTAAATCCGAATGACCTGGCATCATTGTATGATACGCACGTAATATTGGCGGTCTTTGCTTTCTTCTCCTGAATGTTATTTTATCTTTATAAGGAATCTTATTTCTGAGTTAACACGTTGACTGCTATGTGTATGTACCCATGTGTATGTCCTATTAGTGCGTAATTGTTCAATATTTTAATTTATGTTAAAGACACGCAAACATGTTTCAAAGAAAAGTTATATGGATTTAAAAAATACATATTTTAAAAATATTTTTAGATATGTACAGGGTGCTACATTTTTGCTTCGTATATTTTTAAAATAGAACATGTATTTTATTTCAATTTTAGAATGGTTTGGTAATACTGTATTCAACCATAGAATAATTTAAAAAAATATTACAGGTCTGCCAAACAATTAAATTTTTATAAAATTAGAAAATGATGCAGACCCCAAATTAAATTATCATAATTCAAAATTGTTTAATATACTGACTTATAGCACATTAAGATAACGAATAGTAGTGATAGTGCTGGATTCTTTTATAGCGAGTGTTTTGAAACATGTCTTAAAATGGTTACTTTTAAGTCAAATTACTCAATTTTTTAAAGGCAGCATTTGATATAATATTTTAGCATACAATTCCTTATAAATTTGCATATCCAACGATACCAACATGTTAGAGAATAACATATATACAGAGTGTCTCATCAGTGCGTAATTGATCGATAGCTGTTTTATTATTAGAAATAAGAAAAAAAATAATATAAAAGTTGTATGACCATATTAAAAATTATTCCTATATAAACGAGATGTTGACCAAACCTATACATTTTTAAATCAAAACACCCTGCAGGTAGTTATACATATTTGATTGTTTTCACGTCGTAAAATAATTTTAATTGACTTTATTCATTTGCTATGTTCTATATAGAGTGTGTCAACACGCGAGGTTACAAATGCTTAAATTTTTTTCAATGGAATATTATATTAATTGGTGGCATAACATACAAGGTGTTCCATTTAGAAAATTAAGAAAATCCTGTCCATTTTCACACATCCTATATACAACATAGCAAATGAATGAAATAGAAATTATTGTTCGACGATGTGAAAACAGTCAAATATGTAGAACTACCTGCAGGGTGTTTTACTTTAAAAATGTATAGGTTTGGTCAGACAATCGTTTATGGATTACCCTGTATATTTATAAATAATTGTTAAATATGGTCATACAACTTTTATATTAATTTTTTTCGTATTTCCTATTATAAAACTGCTATCGATCAATTACGCACTCATGGGACACCCTGTATATGTGTTATTGATATCGTTGGATATGTTAATTTATAAGGAATTGAATGCTTAAATAATATACAGGGTGTGGCATTTGAAAAAAATTAAATAAATTTAACTTGGAATTAGCCATATTTAAGACTTGTTTTTCAAAACACTGTAAAAAATAATCCAGTTCTATTACCACTATTCGTTAGCTTAATATCTTATTACTACATTTAAAAAAAAATTGAAATTATTTTAAACCTACCTAAATAATGATAATTTAATTTGGGGTCTGAATTATTCTCTAATTTCATAAAAAAATTAATGTATTGGCAACCCTGCAATATTTGTTAATAAAATTCTAGGGTTAAATACAGCATTACCAAAGCATTCAAAAACTGAAGTAAAATACAGGGTTTTCTTTTTAAAAAATATACCGTTTTATTTGTCAGACAAAAACCCAAAACCCTGTATGTCTAAAAATATCTTTAAAATACCTATTTTTGAAATTCATATAACTTTTATTTAGAAATTGTTTACGTGTTTACAACACAAATTAAAATATTGAACAATTACGCACTAATGGGACAACCTGAATATATTATTCACAATATATGCACGCGACATATGTTTGTAATAATTTAATCTCGCGCCGCGTTTATATATTTTATTCATGCGTCTATTAGATATTGTAGTTTACCTAGACCCAACCACAACATTTGCTTCGGCAGTCAACGTGTTTTAAATGCTTTTTTATTAATTTGTTGTTTAATTTGTATTTAGTTATTAATATTTCAAAAATGCTTATTTTTCTTATTGATTAATCTAAAATACGTAATTTTTATTTATAATTGAAAATAGTACTGTAATTCTAAATTGACAAAAAAAGTAGAAATATGAAAACATAAATTACGACTCTACAAATGAAGTAAAATTTTATGATTAATTTCTTTTTTCTTACAAAAACATTATCTCAGCAATATGTCATAAGTTGCATACACACAGTAGGTCTATGTAAGTTGATAACAAATGGAAAACTTTTTTATTATTTATTTTACGAAAAAAAGTTATTCTTCATAAAAATGTATGCATGGTCTAACAGAAAATGCAACCACCCGATAACAAATTTTATCAGTCGGTTTTACAAGGTTTGTCAAAAAATATAATTTTGCTCTCAAGATAAAATAACTTTATTTTCGACAAACCCTGTATACGATTGATAAAATTTGATATCAGATAATTGAAATTTAGGTTTTAGACTATGCATAACTTTTTATGTAAAGTAACTTTTTTTCTAAAATTAATAGACCATGCAATTGTTTATGAAAAATAAGTTTGTTTTTTTTTAATTCTTAAAAAGGTTTTCCGTATGGCGATGCCGCCAACTTACATATAAATGAGATTAAATTTTTTGAAAATAATTTTTACTGATGCAGATCTAAATAAAGTATTGTTGGTAAATAAGGTACATTTTTCTTTTTTTATTTGGTTCTTTGGCTGTAAGACCTTTCGGTATATACATGGTATTCCATTAAGAATGGGAGCAACTGAAGATTAATTGATTAGAAATAAGCCGATTAAACAAAACATTCGTAGGTAAAACATTACTTGTTTCCGAAAAACAGAGTTTTAAAGTTGAAAATCAAAAATTATAAATAGCTACAATTTTTTTATTACTCAGTTTAATTTTACTAAATTCGGCAAACGTTATTGGTGTAATAAAATACATCTATCAGCAAAAAATAAGTTAAATAAGCTTTGCCAGTGGCGTACGTCATGGGCCAGTAACATCTTTTTTCCTTCTAAATTTTAGTCCACTGTCCACTTTTGATGTTTTTTAAATAAAGTTGAGTTAGTTTTTGAGATATTCGCACATATTAGAAAATTCTGAAGTTTTTAAATTTCGATTTTTTTTTATTAAATTTCTAAGAGTACATTATTTATTTTAAAAACATCAAAAAATTTAAAATTTTATGTCCAAATAACATTTTGGATAGTGACGTAAAATTTAAGAGGTATGCGGTATTACGTACGAATGCTGTACGCCACTGGAAAAGTTAATTAGGGTAACTTATTTTTTTGCTGATAGGTGAATAATTTGACACCAAAAACGTTTGCCAAATTTAGTAAAATTGTTGTGAGTAATAAAAAAAATAAAGCCATAAATATTTTTTGGATTTTAACACCTTAACTCAGTACCGAGAAACATTTTATCTAAGCATGATTTGTTTAGTTGTCTTATTTTTAATCAGAGAATCGTCAGTTGTTCTATGTCCCATTCTTAACGAAACACTATGTATAGTAGGTATAAGTGGTCCCTACGTAATGATACGAAGACCGTTGTCCTTTGTTAACTGGACACAAGAATGAACTACTAAATGAATATACCGACGCGACGTGCCGAATCTAATGCAAAAGTTTTATTTTTATACCTGTTTCATCGAAAATATTTGTCAAGGTCAAGAACTCGTTTAGTTATTATCGCGTAGTAGCTAGGGGTGAGAATTTGTTAGGGATTTTATAACAGTTACCGTTTAGAACTAATAAAATTATTACGCCATCTGTTGAACAAAAGAGCTATTAAATATGGAATATTGCTCTATCTGCTGAACAAAAGGATTCTTAATTTATGACACATAAATGACATCTATCAAAATTAGTTCATGTTACGAATATTGGGGGTGGTACTGTGGTCTTTAAAAAGCTTTGTTCCAACACACACACAAACCGTAATATTACGGTCATCGTCATGCGCAGTAAATAAAAACCGTTCGACTTTGGGCTTTATTGATAGGTAAAAGTCGAGTTATCGGGTGAGTTAAATTTTTTTTAATATATTGTAAAATTGATTGGTCATAACAAAATTTTTCTATTTTATCAAAATTATCTATATAATTTATAATAAAACTAAATATTTTCATATAATCCCTTATCTCTCTTCACCACTGTTTTATTCAGAATTGTTTTATTTATTTATTTTATCTTTCTGATTCTTAAAATAATCGGATGATTCCCATTATTTATAAATATTCCGATTATCTCTTGAGATCTCCAATTTCATTGGTCTTTGGTGTTTTGTGTTCCGGTTTATGTCGAATCGGATAATGATTTATCATTTATAACAACGACGAGTTGTTTGGAGCAAATGTCTTTTTGTTACAAAACATCTTTGGAAGGGACATGGTTTGTACAAAAATATATAAGCGGAGGACCTTTTTTTTTAGATGGTCGGTAGAATGACGACGAGGATTCGAGGATTGTTTGTTTTTGTTACAAACTGGACGAACTTTTTTCTGACAGACGAGGATTGTTTTGAGCATATAAATTAAAATAATTGGAAAGCGGAATATTATTCCGATTATTAAAATCATTCGAATACCAACATTCCGATTATTAGAATCATCCTAATATTCCCAACACTAGTTAAAATTAACTAAAACGTTATAGAATAGACCCTGGGAATAGACCCCAAGTTCTGATATATTTTTGCGTTGAATCCTTGTGTCCAACGAATTTTTCATGGTATGATACGCAATGGCGGATTCAATTGGGGAAGGGGGAACAGTAATGATATAAGATTACTAAAATTTTAATTTTTAATTCTATACTATACAGAACAATTTTCGAAATTAATTTCACTCCAAAACAAACTCCTAGATCCATCACTGACAATGCGCACTTTTGTTGACCTACAATTTTCAAGTTAATGGTTGTTATGGCGCACGGGCAAATAAATGCTGTCCCAACTGCATCCTCTCTTGCTTTATTTAATTTATTATATTTAAATAATTTGAATTACCTAAGAAAATATTTTTCAATATCCGAAAAGGATTTTCCTAGCGTTTCAGGCAGAAACACGTACAAGAAACCGAACCCAAACAGGTTAATAACAGCCATAATATAGAAAAGATATTGAATACTTATCAAATCCAATATGAACGGAAACATTTTAACAACCAAAAACATCAAAATATACGCCAAGCCAATCATTAATCCAGCTAATTTCCCTCTAACCTTTACAGGTAACAATTCACCAATCAGAGTCCAAGGAATTACTAAATATCCCAAAGAACTGAAACAAACATAGGCTAGAACGCAGTACAATACAACGTTGTTCTCAGAAATGTCATTAGTAATATTCATCTCTTCGTAAACGTCTTTTGGGACTATGCTTAAATACATGTATAAACCAGCCATCAAGCTGGTAACGCACATTCCTAATGCAGACACAAACATCAATGTTCTTCTTCCGACTTTCTTAGATATCAACGCTGATATTATAGCTATAACGAATCTGATGCTTCCCAGCAAAGCCAGGGCTACGTATTCATCCATCCCTCTTCTGAATCGGCCCCCGATCATTCTGAACAAATCTACCGCGTAAAAGATTATAGCGTAAGCGCCTGAGAACTGTTGGAAGATAAATATTATTGTCATTATTATAACGGGTTTGTAGACCGTTGGGTGTTTGTACAAAGTCAGATCGTCTTTGATTCGCAGTAGGGTTGATCGTTCATCTTGTTTCTCTGGGGTTGTTTGTTGCTTTGCTTCGAGTATTTTTCTAAATTCGTGTTGGTGGATCTGCAAAATAAATGAAATTAAGCGAATGACAAACAAACTACAGAAGTCGCTTATTTTGCTGAGATAATTACACAAGAAGTTTTTTTATCGAACGAGTTTTCGTTTTCAACAAGCCTAGAAGAACGGGTTTGAATTCTTGAAATTCACGACCACATCACCCTGTATCTTCCATAGTCGTTGTTTATTGACTGGTTTGTTTTGCGAGAAACAATATTTATAGGCATAAAACACAACTTTACGGCGTTAAGAAAACCTTTACATTTAACCCTTATACTATTTACAAAAATTAAAACCAAGTGCGACTCTTCACAACTGAAGCCTGAAACCCAACTATCATTCGAGACGTTTTAAGATACATTCTCGATTAGCAGAGAAAGTAATGGCACGTTATGGTATTTGCAGTACACATGTCACTTTCCGAGAATTGACATTTTATTCTAACATTTTTCAAACCTTTCGCAATCAAGCCTCTTATATTCACATCTTCTTTAATTATGTTTACTGCTTGCTTCGACAGCATATTAAGTATCCTCCCGCTAACCATCTGTGGGACATTTCTGTTGGTTAGTGAGTGTATTACCTTGGAAAATGTCTTATCAAATGTACCTTCTGTCTAAGAAAATACCCAAGGCGGACTCTTTATTGTCCAGGGATTTCTGTATCCGGCCAGCAACTAGGTGAAGGGCTGAATTAGTAGATCTGCCTGGGGTACGTATGTTGATTTGGATGTAATGGTGTTGTTGTAATCACCTTATGTACCCTTCGCATAGCCTTTTCATGAAAAACTATGTCAGGCTAATTGGTCGGTATGTTTTTGGGACAGTGTAATTCTAAGGTGTAATTCATCCTTCCAGGTTTGGATTTCTAATTTTTAATGGCATATTCAATATCAGCGACCCAAAACAAAACACCCAATATACAGCCGTTCATCTCATGAAAACGAATCTTTGATATTTTGGCCAAAAAATAGGCGTAACGTCCCATAGTGCACGGACGCCGAAGATAGGGCTGTGGATTTTCACTTATGATAATTCCCTCAGATGTTTAGCAGCAGCGACAACTTGATTGATACATGGATGTCATGAATGGCAGTTTTTCCTTAGCAATTGGATTCTTTAAGCAATCTTACGTTATTAGTGTTTATAGCATCTGCTGAACGTATATACGTAGTGAGAGCAGCATTATTCCCTGACCCGTTAATTATACATCTGACCTTCGAGAAAACAGTTATTCTATCTCAAAAAGCCATTCTAGAAGACCATTTAACAATAAGATGCTGCTTTTATCATCTCTACCAGATTACGTTTTGGGATAGTTCAAGAATTAAGCCTACAGAAGACGTATAATTTGAGCAGGAGACGCGGCGGTTGAGCGTGGGAACTTTTTACTGATCGTGGGAACCAAATTTTCCTTTGATGATACCGACAACACATGTCATGGCACGTGTCATCCAATTTTCCTTTGATGATACCGACAACACCTGTCGTGGTTTGTGTCATCCATTTTTTTAATTGCTTTTTAATTGTCGTTACCTGGTCACCTGTCATGTCACCTGTCATGGCACGTGTCATCCATTTTTTAATTGATTTTTAATTGGCTTTTACCTGGCAACCTGTCATGGCACGTGTCATCCACCGACCGTGGGAACCAAATTCTTCTTTGACAAAGCCGCCTAACTGCCACGCCCTAATTCAGTTCTTATCTAACAGCAATCTACTAATCGATTTTTATTTGTTTTTTAATTGTCTTTTCCCGGCCACCTGTCATGTCAGGTGCCGTGTCATGCTGTCATCCATTTGTCACTCGCCTTGACGTCACGTGTCATGACGTCACTAGCCAACTGTTGCTAACCTAACCTTACTCGACCTTGTTGCGAGCCTGCTATATCTGCCCCTAGATAGAGTCACTTATTAATTAATTTATTAATCCGCAACTTACTATACATCATTATACAATATCACAGCAACTCAACATACACCTTTATTAATTTTATTAATTAAATAAAAAAATCTGACTACGCGGGGAATCGATCCACCGGCCCAGAGAGGTTTGGGGATTACCAGTCGGCGCTGTAGATCACTCGACCACGAAGCCATTTAATAATTATTTCCAAGATGATGTATATAATGAACGTCGGCTCACTGCTTGATAACGTTGAGGGTCTTAGCGTGTATCATGTGGTCCGATTCAAACGGGAAAAACGGTATTATGTAGAGAATGATTAACAGAGAAAAATCTTGTGATTGCCAAAAAGGACTAAGCGTGTTTCTCGAATATTACCAGTCATATTCAAACGGCAAAAACGGTATTACGTAGAGAACTCGAAAATGTTGATCAGAAAAATCATGCGCAGTGACGGACCACCTGCGCAGTGATAGGCCAAAAGGGCATAAAACTTATCTTTGTTATTGTAGGTCCGATTCAAACGGGAAAAATGTCATTATGTAGAGAATGAATAACAGAGAAAAATCCTACGATTGCCAGAAAGGCCTTAGCATGTATCTTCACTGCTATTGTTCCGATTTAAGCGGGAAAAACGGCATTATGTATAGAACGATTAACGTAGAAGAAAAAAAACATGTGTAAAGCCAGAAAGGCTTTAGCATGTATATTCACTGCTATTGGTCAGATTCGACTAGGAAAAACGGCACTATGAAGGAAATGTGTCGTAGAATAACGCTGAAAAGAAAAATCATCATGCGCAGTATCGTTGTCAAAAAGGCATTAGCTTATATATTTACTTTTGTTCATTCGATTCAAACAGGACAAACGGCACTACTATGAAGGAGATGGGACGGACGTAGATTAACGCTGAAGAGAAAAATCCTACGATTGTCAAAAAGGCATTAACATATATCTCTGCTATTATTGGTCCACTTTAAATAGTACAAACGACACTACTATAGGATCTTGGATACCAATGCTTTTTAAATGAAAAACGTGTAGTTCACTCTGGACAGTAGAGTGCAGGTGTGGACATTTAAGTAAAGATAGGACAAATATTGCTAATAATTTAAATGGGGGAAATTTATTTGTAATAGGGTAAAGTCAACATTGGACAATGGGTTAGGAGGGCATACGAGAAGTTCGCCTTGTTTCATCGTTTAATCTCTCCTTATTAAATCGCTTTAGAACTTCTCGTATGCCCTCCTACCCCATTGTCCAATGTTGACTTTACTCTATTACAAATAAATTTCCCCCATTTAAATTATTAGCAATATTTGTTCTATCTTTACTTAAATGTCCAAACCTGCACTCTACTGTCCAGAGTGAACTACACGTTTTCCATTTAAAAAGCATTGGTGTCCAAGATCCTATGATAATTTCAGCTTCATCCGAACACGAACTTCATGATAAATCCACATGTAGATGTGATAGAGGTGCCGAAGGAATAAGGCGGAGGGAAGAAGCTAACGAGAAACGGAGATAATTTTACAAAACAGAACGGGGAATTGAAATTAGGAATAATTACAAAGAAAAACAAATTAGAAAAAAGAAACTAATTACAAGTTTACTGAAAATGGGCCTAAATAAAAAATCTGAGCTTCAAAGAGAGACAATTTTGAAACTCATTGAGTTACTGTAAATACTTAATACTGTTACTTTAAAAATATAATTTTGAATTAAAATATATTTTATTTTCATTGTCCAATGTTGACTTTACCCTATTACAAATAACTTTCCCCCATTTAAATTATTAGCAATATTTGTCCAATATTTACTTGAATGTCCACACCAGCACTCTACTGTCCAGAGTGAACTACATGTTTTCCATTTAAAAAGCATTGGTGTCCAAGATCCTATCAAGCAGCGAGCCGACGTTCATTATATACATCATCTTGGAAATAATTATTAAATGGCTTCGTGGTCGAGTGATCTACAGCGCCGACTGGTAATCCCCAAAACTCTCTGGGCCGGTGGATCGATTCCCCGCGTAGTCATATTTTTTTATTTAATTAATAAAATCAATAATGGTGTATGTTGAATTGCTGTGATATTGTATAATGATGTATAGTAAGTTGCGGATTAATAAATTAATTAATAAGTGACTCCATCTAGGGGCAGATATAGCAGGCTAAGGTTAGGTTAGCAACAGTTGGCTAGTGACGTCATGACACGTGACGTCAAGGCGAGTGACAAATGGATGACAGCATTACACGACACCTGACATGACAGGTGGCCGGGAAAAGACAATTAAAAAACAAATAAAAATCGATTAGTAGATTGCTGTTAGATAAGAACTGAATTAGGGCGTGCCAGTTAGGCGGCTTTGTCAAAGAAGAATTTGGTTCCCACGGTCGGTGGATGACACGTGCCATGACAGGTGGCCAGGTAAAAGCGAATTAAAAATCAATTAAAAAATGGATGACACGTATCATGACAGGTGACATGACAGGTGACCAGGTAACGACAATTAGAAAGCAATTAAAAAAATGGATGACACAAGCCATGACAGGTGTTGTCGGTATCATCAAAGGAAAATTGGATGACACGTGCCATGACATGTGTTGTCGGTATCATCAAAGGAAAATTTGGTTCCCACGGTCAGTAAAAAGTTCCCACGCTCAACCGCCGCGTCTCCTGCTAATTTGAAAAATAAAGTTTTAAGTAGTTTTTACAGATTACTTAAATTACGGATTACTTAAAAGAAACTACAGGGACAGAAATATATTCATATTTATCATAAATTACTTTGACGTCATCTACAATTCAGGAATATTCCGAAAAGTGGGGCAATGATATTCAAAATGTAAATATCCAGAATAGAGCACCTTGTTTAGGACATAACTTTGGAGTGTCCACAAAGTCACCTTATCGGACGAAGATAGAACTAAGACCCAGAGGTTTGAAACTATCGATTTTCCAACCATTTTGGTCAAGATCATCCATCTGGTTGGGTGTTAATATGAAAGATAAGGATGGAATTGGCGGTAGATTCAGTAAAACTGCAAAATGAACATTTGGAAACAAAAGTAAAGTGCAAACCAGCTACATATCAGTACCGATTAAAGCTGTTACGTCAGCAATTTTAATGGTAGAGAAACAGTAACAAAGCCTACACAGAACACGAGGTTAATGACCTTAGCAGTCGATGCCGATGACACCAAATTAAAAAAAAAAATGTAAAATAACACTAATTCCAGTTCAAAAATGGTTTACATTTTAGTTGAAACAATTTAGGTCTGGCCCTTAAAAAAAAAGGTTTGTCATCTGTTTTGAGTTAAAGAGCGTATTAATGCCTTACCAAATTGTTTGAACCATATAGCCAGCTCAAAGCTTCGGAGGTTGCTTGATGATCTTCTTTAAATATAAATAACCAGTGTGGGCTTTCTGGAATGAACCACATGCAAACAGACAATAAAATCGTCATAACTATAAAAATGAAAGCCATAGTTCTCCATGGAAACCATAAGCCTAAAATTAGGAATAGGTAATAAAAAAAAATATTTGGCGCCATAAAGATAAAATTATTTATTTTGTACAATAAAAAAATGCATATAAAAACGATTATTCTAAGTCATTGTTTATTTAGTTTAAATATTTATAAATATGTAATTTAACAATTAAATGATTACTTTATTAAGGACGAGGTAGATACTTAATAAAAGTATAAAGGAGTCTTTTTCAGAGTCGTCACATGGACTTAGACGGCTATCATATAAGACCTAGGCTAATATACGGTGCAGTTGTCTGGGTACAGAAAACCTAACAATTGACAGCTATCTGCAAACTAGAACAAATTCAAACAAAAGAATGTCTCAACTATGAGTCTAAACATAACAGGAGCCCTAAAAACAACATCAACCAGAGCCATGTAAGTCATTCTTAGTCTCACTCACATATTTAAGAGAAAATCGAAGTATGTGGTCTCACTCTTCGTAATATTTACATCAAGGAGGTTGTTCTGGACAGGGATTCCTATGTGCATACTCAACACGTAACGAATTGAATAGAGAGAGACATTACATACGAATCGCATTTTGTGGAACGAAGATAGTTGTCTCAACACGTGCCGAATAGAATAGAACCTGAAGTTGAACTCTATGCTCCATAGAATTCTACGAAACGACACTGAAGTGTAAAAATGGTATTCTGTGTCAATCCTACTCGACCATTCACTGTTGGGTACTAATTAACAGTGCTGTTCCTAAAGTGGCGCTGGGAAACAGAAACAAAGCCTACACAGAACACGAGGCTAATAACCGTAGCAGTTGATGCCGAGGACACAAAAAAAATATCGACTTTACGATTTTAGAGAATGCTATCGTTTCAAGTCGACAGCTTTGAAATCGTGTTATCTGTCTTGCATTTATAAATTTCCTTATTCAACTTAACGTGAAGACAGATAAAAATAGAACAGAATCAATTAGGCATTCCAAACAAAATGGCTGATAGGTTATAAAATGGCAACACTGTGAGCCTGGTGGTTTGATAGGGTCAATGATATAAATAGTTATATAGATTGATCATCCATGGTTTTAAAAATAAACATAAGCTTATGCCTTGAAGTAAAAATATAGGGAATTCTTTTTTTTTTAATATTTAAAGGCTGAAAATTGTGTGTGTGTGTGTGTGTGTGTGTGTGTGTGTGTGTGTGTGTGTGTGTGTGTGTGTGTGTGTGTGTGTGTGTGCGTGTGTGTGTGTGTGTGTGTTTGTGTGTGTGTGTGTGTGTGTGTGTGTGTGTGTGTGTGTGTGTGTGTGTGTGTGTGTAGGTGTGTGTGTAGGTGTGTGTGTGTGTGTGCACGCGTGTGTGCGTGTGTGTGCGTGTGTGTGTGCGTGTGTGTGCGTGTGTGCGCGTGTGCGTGCTTGCGTGCGCGCGCGCGCGCGTGTGTGTGTGTGTGTCTGTATCCACCACAACTCATAAACGGATACAAAGAAAAACACCAAATTTTAAACTTAAGCTTTATTCCGGCCAATAAACTGATTAGATTTTGGGCAAAGTCGGAACATCTGGGGGTTCTTTATAGGTGGCCATTTTATATTTTATGGAATATATCTGTTATTTACGTTTGGAGAAGAAAATTGTTTAAATAAAAGTTACTTCTATTATTATCTATAATTTTTTTTTTTGCCAAATTTTCCTGAAATGGTCCATATTCGAGAAATTTAATAAAATGTGCAAAATTCTGATTTTTTTTAGAAAATTAAAAGTTGTTTGCGATATCAATCTCTATAATTTTTGTTTATTTACATGATTTTTCTAAAATGAACCGTAATGGAAAAATTGGAGGAAAAGTGCTAAATTTAATTTTTTTAGTATTTTCGTTTTCAATGAATATCTATAGAAAAATGTTTCGAGTTAGATGTATATGGAAAATGTATATATTCAGTTTATCCTCTAAATATTTATAGAGGTGATGCAATAGGTTTTACAAAATAACCGGAAAAAGCCTATAATATTTAGATAGGAAAGTCATGTGTTGGACATATCTGATTTTTTGAAATAACGCCGTTTAACTTTTTTTATTGTAAAATAAAAAATTTATAAAGTAATTAAAAAAGTTATAGAAAATAATCGACTTTAGGACTTTTTTAAGGAAAACTAAAAGTTTATTTTTATTATTTTGTTTGTATTATGTTATTTGCTAATTACTTATTTACTACTTGTCTTTGTTATTGAATTTTGTAATTTTGGGCTTAATAGCCCCAATTTGTTTTTAATAATTGGGTTATATTAAAATTTATTTAAAGGTGACTTACCCAACAAACAAGTTAACAATATTCCAAATGTTACAAAAACGCTGTTTAGACAAAGCAGCATTGATCTTAATTTGGGATGGGCAATTTCACTAACGTATATTAAAGCCACAGTTACTAATCCTGGAAATAAAAACAATATTACCCTTAGTTAAGTTAAACAACATTTTATATAATTATTACCTCCGACTAAACCACTAATTATTCTAGCTACGTATAAATACCATACATTTTGTGCATAATAAACTAATAACCACGCAAAAACAGTTGGTATGTTTGCGATTAGACATATTTTTTTCCTTCCATATTTGTCCATCAGGGGACCAACTGCCAAAGATCCAATTGGCAGTACTATCGTAACTAAACTAGCTAAAACAAAAAAATTACTTAGTTAAATTTAATCGAAAAACCACCTATCCAATATTTGCTTGGTGAAGAGACAATTGGCAATGGCATCGTTTTTTGTTTTATTTTTTTTAATTTGACACCTTATAGTGTCTGCTATTAAAACTAGTCTCTTGGAGTAACCATTAATTTTGTAACTAAATACTAGTCAATCCAGTGATATTCATTAGATTAGTCACTCGCGCATTGTGCTCTGCTTTCACACATATACAACACACTACACGACAAATTACTTGGCCCTCTTCAATCGTCAGACAAAGTCCTGATAGTCCAGTAGCTGAAGAATTTCGGCATTGGTATCCAGGTGAAGTCTGGTTTTATGTTCCTAGAAAACCTATTTTTGATTTCTTCTTTCCAAGGTCTCGATGAAAATCTGCATTGTACACATACCAAGAAGCGTTCAGTATGTTGCACAATACTTTGTTCTGAAAGGTTTGGATATACCTAATGTTGCTATCTCTGGTACATTACCACATAATCTTATTATAACCTGATAGTAGATTATTTTTTTATTATATATTGACAGTTTTGAGTGTCTGCACAAGAGCCAGTAGTTTATAGTTTAATTCTAATTCAGTTCTTTTCTTTTTTAACATGTACTTTCCATCGTAACTTGGCAACAAGGGTAATACCAAGGTATTTTGCATTCAGGATAGCTATTCACTAAGTCATGGGAGCGCTCCCATGGGAGTGCTCCCATATATTTTGCTCTCTTACTCTTAGGTGGGTATATCGTGCTTACTCACTTTTAGCCCAGGTACATGCGTAGTAAGGTCAGATTTTATACTATGGGAGGGAGAATTGCGGGCTTGCCAGATTAGGTCCGTATTTATCACAAAAAGCAAATTTGAATTACTAAGGGCTGATTCCACCGTTGAGTTAAACGGAGATTAAAATGACATTGTTAATGTAAAAATGTCATTTTAAACTTCGTTTAACACAACGGTGGATCGGTCCTTAAATAGTAGATCAAAGTTATTCTGTCGACTTGGCAACGTTGGCATGGGAGTATGGGAGCATGGGAGTGTGGGAGTGCTCCCATGAGTTAGAGAATAGGTATCCAGCTCATGATGTATTGTCTCTTCATTGATATTTAGAGAGAGAGAGAGATTGATTCTGCTTTTTTTTATTAGTGAAGTTCACATGAATTGATATCAGTTTATTCAGCATAATTCTCCATTGATTGGTCCATCTACCTAGAGAATTGCTAGCATTTTCTTACTGATCTTTATTGGTCCTGATCAACTGCAAGGAGAGCAGTATCATTAGCGGATATATCTATAGTCGTATCTTTCAAAATTGGCAAGTCACTGTAGTAAAGAGTAAGTATAAGATAGGTCTAAGAACACTTACTTGCGGCATTCAAGCACTTATTTCTTCTAAATTAGAATATTCTTTTTCTGCTTGATTCTAAAAAGCCTAAAGTAGGAAAACGAAGACGTGAAAGAAGATAAAGAAGAAATAATAATAACGATGCAGTGAACACTGTTGCTAGTAAAATGTTTTCATACTAACCTACCCATGATGCTTCAGATTTCGAGATGGTCATTTCACTTCTTGTTTCATTTAATTGTGGAAGCAAAACAGCACTGAATGCCATGTTTATTCCAGCTTGTATCACTATTGTATTTGCTATACATGCTGCTAAAATCTGCAAAAGAAATATCCAATAATACTGCTGTAAGGGAAATTCCTACAATTACACCGAAAGTAGCAAAACCGGACTACAAATAATGCTCGCAAAGGGATTTTTATGGTTATAGACGTCTAGAGCAAATTATTTAATTGCCAGCAAAAAGACGAAGAAATTCTTCGATAAGAAACGTTATTTTGAATTTGACAGATTACACGACAGCTCCCAATACCGGGACATTGTTTACCCCATTTTGAATTATTTTATTATGGTAATTAAATTAATCAAGTTGAAACAGGTATACCATTTTAAATTACCGTAAAGTGGGGTTACTTTGCTTACGCCCGTATGCACCGTACACGTTTAATCCAGATTAAGGGTTTAATCACGTTTAGTACCAGTTTTAGCTATGCACCGTAATAAAAATCATTCTTAATCCGATTTTATTCTAATCCGTCAATATCGGAGGATCAAATTGTTAATCGAGATTTTCTTACGTCAAAAAGATGTCAACGGTTTGTCAGTATATTTGGAACTGTCTATTTGCGTTTATTTATTTTATTTGAATTTTAATAAAAAACAAATAGAATACCAGCTTTTCTTGGAAGATGACAAAGATTCTATACAAAATTACGAGAGAAGTGAATATGTTTATACGATGGGCAACTTTGTCATTTTTGAGAGATTTTTTACATTCTAACGTTACATCATAATTCTGTAGTTAGATGGCAAACCCAGATATGTTGAAAAAGGTAAAAATAAGTAAGCAATACATATAATATTTATGTGATTTTGTCCACTTTTAAATACTGATATGTTAAATCCATATAGTTTTGAACATGCACAGTGTAGGGAAAGTATTCATATAGGTATATCGTTCTGCATAGAAAAGCTTGAAATAAAGCACTTTGTGTGTATATATATGTTAAAATTACCAAAAATGAACTTAATGGTTTTGCCATCCAACTATAGAATTATTTTTTTTAAATTCATTTGACATTCTTTTTCACCTTGTGTAAAATTCGGTATGCGTTTTACGGTGTGTTTACGATTTTGGTACATTTAAAAAATAGGATTTCTATCTTCAACGGCCTCTTATCCTTTGACATACATTTCTCCTGTCCAAATCTGAAGTTTTCTTCTTCTGATTTTTGTAAAATTTATAGAAATCCAGTGTTGTCAGATTACTAAACTAGATTATCTAATCCGTAGCCGGTGCATAGAAAATAACCACTAGTCCTTTAAACGAGATCTGCAAATCTGGATTAAATTTTAAAACGGTGCATATGGGCGTTAAAAAACTAAAAAAATGTTTTCTGTAAATCTGGCAACGCGCCTCTAATGCAGTTGGCGGCAAAATAGTACGCGATCAACAGGTTTTAGGCAGTACGAGTCCGGAGCTCGGTAAAGCGGTGCGCCATATTTGAAAATCACGTGAGTAAAAATTTTATTTTGACCTTGTAAAATTATGTTGCTATGCTAACAGTTGTTGTGTAATAAAAAGGACACCGCAATAATCTTATGGAAATTGGGTTTCTGTCAAATTGTCTGAATTTTTCATATGTTGTAGATTTTGTCATCCTGAACAAAAGTCTCCATGGGCACAAAGTGCTAAAATGAATATTTTGGCAGCTACGTTGCAGAACTATTCATTTTCAATACTATTTACAGATGTCCAAATCATATTTTGATTATTCTAATATATAGGGTAATGATTTTGAGGTCACTGAATTCAACACTCATGTCAGATTGGACAAATTGACCGTTGACAGCTGTCAATTCACGATCAACGAGGAATATAAGAGTAAATAGAGAGTTATTGCAAGTTCACTTAAGGTCAGTCACTATTAGTGCCGCTCTTATTTTGACATCTGAGCATGCGTAGATCACTAACTTTAACAAAGATTGTGCCTGTCCTTAAAAGAGAGTTATTGCAAGTTCACTTAGGGTCAGTCACTATTAGTGCCGCTCTTATTTTGACATCTAAGCATGCGCAGATGTTTATGTTCTGAAACTGACTTTATTAAGTATTGTGCCTGTCCTTAATTGTGGATGTTTAGGGCAGCAGGTAGTGGCGACTTTATAGCTTTCGGATGTACTCGTCATTTAAACCTTCTAAAATTATAATTTATAATGCCTCTTTAATATTAGGTACTATTATAGAATTTATTTGACTCTAATTACGATGTCACTATTAGTGGCTGGCTTTATAGAAATTTGCAATATCTCTCTATTAAGGGCAGGCACAATCTTTAATAAAGTTAGTGATCTGCGCATGCTCAGATGTCAAAATAAGAGCGGCACTAATAGTGACTGACCTTAAGTGAACTTGCAATAACTCTCTAATATCCTCTTTTCATATTAAGAGTTTGGGTTTTTGAGGTCGTTGACAGTTGACAGCTGTCAACTGTCAATTTGTCCAATCTGACATGAGAATTGAATTCAGCGACCTTAAAAACTCAAACTATGAATGTGAAAAGAGAATATTTACTTTTATATTCCTCGTTGACCGTGAATTGACAGCTGTCAACGGTTAATTTGTCCAATGTGACATGAGAATTGAATTCAGTGACCTCAAAAACCCAAACTCTCAATGTGAAAAGAGGATATTTACTTTTATATTCCTCGTTGATAGTCAATTGACAGCTGTCGACTGTCAATTTGTCGAAACTGACATGAGAATTGAATTCAGCGACATCAAAAACCCAAACTCTCAATGTGAAAAGTGGATATTTACTTTTATATTCCTCGTTGACAGTGAATTGACAGCTGTCAACGGTCAATTTGTCCAATCTGACATGAGGGTTGAATCCAGTGACCTCAAAAACATTACCCTATATATTAGAATAATTAAAATATGCTTTTGATATCTGTAAATAGTATTGAAAATGAATAGTTTTACAACGGGTCAGGGGAGCTTTGGCAGCTCCGTAGGAGACTTTTGTTCAGGATGACAAAATCTACAACATATCAAAAATTCAGACAATTTGACAGAAACCCAATTTCCATAAGATTATTGCGGGGTCATTTATAAATCTTGAGTTCTGGTTTTAACATCAACTATTCTTGTGTATATGTGAGTTCTATTTCTGATATTAACATTTTTATAGATGCTAAATTTCCAATAATTTTTGCGGTTGGCACATTGTGTGTTTTTTTTAGAAAATGGTTCGAACGTATAAAAGACAAGTGGGTGCAATATTATACCGAAGAGCAGTTGCATAAAGCTGTTCACTGATTAAAAGTAATCAAATGGGATAAACCAAAGCATCCAAAATCTTCAATATTCCTAGAAGAATCCTAATAAATAAAGTTAAAAAAACATGTAGGTCCTGTTAGACCACCTCACCTAATCGCCCCGGAGATTAAACGGACCATTGTCGACGTTATAATAGACAGCTCCGAATATGGCTGCCCCCTAACCATGACAGAATTGCGAGTAGTGTTGAAGAGTCATTTAGATTGGTGCAAAAATTTTATTCATAGACACAAACATGAATTATCCAACAGACAGTTCCAAAATATTAAAAAAGCAAGCGATGAGAAAACAGATGAGGAAATGAACAATTACTTTGATAATTTATAAAGAAATGTGTGAAGAATTCCACCTGGTTCCATCATTAACTACGACGAGACCAATCTGACAGACGATCCTGGATCGTCAAAATGTATTTTTAGAAACGGGATTAAATACCCTGAACAAATTATGAACTCAACAAAGTCTTCAATATCTGTCATGTTTGCTGCCGCTGCAGATGGAACTTTGCCCCATATGTTGTGTATGAGGCGGAGAGATTATTTGATTCCTGGTATATCAGGGAACCCCCTGGAACTTGTTATAATAGAATCATATCTAAGTGGTTTGATCAGTATGCATTTGAAGACTGGTTTACACAAATGGTTATACCGTAGGCCAAAAAAATTAATGGGCCGAAACTTCTAATCAGAGATAATCTATTGAGTCATTTAAACATAACAATCATTAGAGAGTGTCAAAGAAACAATATTATATTTATCTTTCTACCCTCAAATTCAACACATTTGACACAACCTTTGGATGTGAGCTTCTTTAAGCCCTTGAAGGTAGTTTGGCGCCGTATAAAAACCTACAAAACCAAAAACCCACGAGACAGTACAGTAAACCAAAGTACTTTTCCTCATTTATTGAAGAAGCTCATTGAAGAAATAAAATTAAAAGACAAACAAATCATTCAAAATGGATTTAGAGCAACGGGAATATACCCATGTAACAGAGAGGAGGTTCTTAATAGAATGCCCAATAAAAGACTTGATAGGACCAACACTGATATTAGCGAGACCTTGTTGGATTTACTTAAGGAAAGTAGAGCTCCTTCAAAAGCAAGCACCCCAAAGAGAAAGAAGATGATAAGAATTGAACCTGGCAAGTTTGTTGCAAGTGAGGATTTCACGACAAGTATTCCCAAAGAGAAACGTGATAAAGCAAATAAAGAAACTGAAGAATATGACTGGACCATTGAAAGTGAATCTGAGGACAATTTAGAATTGAAGTCGAGGATTTCCAAAAGACTAATGACGAGCTTTAAGCCCATTGCTCCCATGATATTGTAACTAGCAAGACTGAAGATGAATCAAAATTAGAGTTAAAAATTCCGATTTTCTACTTGTAGCACTTTTAGGGAAAAAACAATACAAGCATTTTGTTGCACAAGTTATTGACAAAGAAAAAGACTGGTGTAATGTAAAGTTTTTAAGACTAAAATCACAAAACAATTTTTATTTTCCTAATATCGATGACACAGGCCTTATTCTTGAACACGATATTGTGACTCTTTTAGAATCGCCAAAACTTGCATCGACATCAAGACAAATTTTTACATTCGAAAATTTTTACTTTTCCCAAAATTTAAATGTTTATTTTGAAGCATTTGTTAAGTTTCTTTTGTGACTTACTACCTACATAGAATAGTTAAGAATTATGTTCTTATTATTTTGTTACCTAAGAGTTATTATTATTATTTTATCAAAGAGTTATTATTATTATTTTATAAGAGTTGTTTGTTGACTTGCAAAGAGGTAAATGGTCTTTTATTTTCTTAGAAATATACTATGTAAAAATGAATTATGTTTATTAAAATATTTTTTTAAACACATTAAAGGAGGGTAAAGTAACCCTTCGAGACTGTTAACAAAAATGCCAGTCGGCAAAGTAACCCCAAAGTCGAGGTAACTTTACCAACTCTTTAAACTTTTAAAAGCAACAGTTTTTTGTATTGTATTCTAAAAATGAATGACATCAATTTCGAGCAACGGTGTGCTATCAGGTTTTGCTGTTCAGATATAACCGCAGGGACATTAGGTTCACTCATTTTACAAAGGAGACGTTCAACTTACAAACTAAAAACAAAAATTCCAAATTACAAAATGTAAAGTTCAGATCTTCTACTAATGCTTGGCTATTCTCTGAACTTATCTTGCCTTTGAAATTTGATAGAGTGGGGGTAGTGTGTATGGTAGCTGCTATCGTTCGGTTGATGTCTCTGCTGATCTTGCTTCCAGAATTTGTTAAAATGCAAAAAGAGGTATGCTCTATTTTTATCACCAAAAATGATCACGTCGGGGTCACCAGTTATAAGGGGCGTTGGTGAAGTTGTAATGGACAATTAAAAGGAGTCTAATATAATAATTTTATTTATGAGAACATCAAAATTAGTCATTAATTGTCCATCAACATTAAAACCGTATCAACACACTAATAACTGAACACCAGCTCCTACACATCCTTTTAGTAGCAACTGACATCTTGCTTCGACACACAGAAGTAAAACATTTCCCATTGATAAATTAATAATAAAAGATGAATTTTTTAAATGCACGCCACTGTCAACACGTTGTAGTTCCCAGCATATTATTAGTTAGCGCCACCATCGCAATAGTATGAAAGCGATATTGCCGGTTTCCGTAAACTTTCATGAGATGAGAGTTATTTCAAATTCATCTTGTTTTAATTTTTTCTCAATTTACATGCGCACCATACCATCCATACAATGTCCATACTATTGCTGAGATTTTAAAAAGAATGAGTTGGCAACCTCATAAACAATGAAAAACCGTGATGGCGGAAGGCCAAATATTAACATATTTGAAATGATAAAATAAAACTTATTTTATGAATTATGATGTAGGTTCCATAGATAGACAAAAATTGTTTGCATGCACATGTGCTTCTGATTTCTACAGGAGTGTACACTTTAAACGGCTACATATTAGCACTTTGTTGAATGTTGAATGAATGTTTAACGAGAAATCGACTCCAAGACATCTTCTCTGTTAAACGACTAAAACTGGAGTGAGGCGAGCGGCGACTTTTCTAGTTTAAACCATAAGATGCTAGTACAAGATCTATGCTATACATAATACATGATTTACATGATCCTGAAATTCGTGTAGGTTTTTGTCAGTTTGTTAATATCCAGCGAAAAAGATTTGACCATTTGAATATTTTGTTAACCGATGAAGAGGGATATCTAATACCCATAATGAACACGTTTATGCGGTTGAATATCCGCATACAATAACCAATTTTCAACACGAATTCAAAATCAATCTGTGGGCTGGTATAATTGACAACTTTGTTGGTTTTGTCATTCTTCCAAAAAGATTGATGGGAGAAATTTATTTGCAACATCCGTGCCAGATTTCTTAGACGATTTACCTCTGCAACTTCGAATGAATACGCGCGATAGAGTTCAACCACATTTTTTATTAAATAATGTGCAAAATCACTTGAATCAACAGTTCCCACATAAATAGATAGGTAGAGGTAATGACGCAATTGTGAGTTGGCCACCACGTTCTCCAAACTTAACTCCGATTGATTAGTTTTTATGGGGACATCTCAAGACAAATGTAGCCTGTAGATAATGAAAAACAACAGTGGTAACGTATCCAAGATGCAACAAATAATTTTAGAGGCCATGAAAAAGTTATGCAAGGAGTACATTTCAATTTACTTCGTTAGTTTTAGTAGACATTTTATGAATAAATCTACTATAAGATGTAACCATGCCAAGAAATCTTCTAACTCCATCATAATCTACTAGCTGTGGCATCTCCAGGATGGCTTGAACTTTTTTTTAAACATTTTGATATTCGTTATGCTTAATAACATCTCCAAGGTACTCAAATGTACATTTCCTGGAATCTTCTAGTCTTTGAAAACATGCAATCAGGTTTTTTTGACATTCCTTCTTAGTTGACCCATGAAAAATGTCATCAAAATAAGATTCAGTTTTGGGTAAATCAGATAGTATTTGATCAATAATTCTGTTGAATTCTGAATGTGCAGTTTTGATACCAAAGGAAAGACGGTGCATTCGATATGTTTCTCGATGAGTTGAAATAGTTTGAATATATTCATTCACTTGTAGATGTAGATATGCTTTGAATAAATCAAGTTGACAGAAATATGTTGAACTTTTTAAACTGTTTAGTATATCTTCAATTTTTCTAATTGGATAATTCGCTGAGACTAATCTGTCATTAACTCCTATTTTATAATCTACACATAGACGTACTCCACCATAGGTTTTAGAAATTACAACTAAAAGGGTAATCCGGTGATCCCCAATCGCTATTGTCAACTTTAGATATAATACCTGCAGCTTCTAGGATATCCAGTTCCTTTTCCACCTTGTCTCGCAACGCGTAAGAGATATCTATGTGCTTGTAAAATACTGGTTTTGCATTTGGACGTAATTATTGTAATGAGACTTTAAACTTTGGTACCAATCCAATTTTATATACATCTTTGTATGCATAGAAATAGTGGTCGAATATAATTGGAAGTAATAGAATTTAGGTAATTATTAGAAATCGAATGTAATTGAAACTAATCAGAAATAACCGAACATAACTAAAAACTATTTTGTAATTGAATATAGGTAATCTTCAATTAAATTTGTACAACTTATAGGTTTACTTAATTGACAAGTGACATTCCCGATGGATTCTACTATTGCTGCGTTTGAGAATCCACATCGGATGCATCTGAGATGTAAAAAATCTTTGATCACGTGATTCAGTATACGTAAATGTAATGGGACAGATGTGTCCGATGTGAATAAAAAAACGCTCGAGATGTAAAAAATGCATCCGATGTGGATTCTCAAACGCAGCATTTGTCTATACCATGTTGTACCCGTAACATAAAAAATATTTTTTAGTTTAGGGTATTTTACATTTAAAGGTTGAAAAAATTTGTCATTGTCAGCTGTCAATTATGTTGATGGTAGAACACAGGCGTAACTATAGATGGGCATAATGTAACTAGTGTTGTATTTGTAGCAGCAGCATGTTTGCATTTGACATAAATATATGAAACCAAATGAAAAAAATGTTTAAAGAAACCGGTAGAAACTAAAGTATAACAATAAAAAATAAATCGCAATGCTAAGCTTATGTTTTGACATTATCGACAGCTGATATTGACAAATGGCTTCAACCTTTAAAGTAAAATATCCTAAACTAAAAAAACATTAATTCTATTATTTAGTCTTACTTGTTTATATGAATCTTTCCACTTTAAATCGATTTCCCTTCTTTCATTACTCGATATAACAAAAGGCACTTCATTATTTATAATTTTCGTATCGTCAGTGTCCCCATCCAGATCGTTTTTCTCAGCGTCCATCTGAAATAAAACACCAATATCTAAACTAGTCTATAAAGCCAGTGGCTGTCACAGTCTCTTCGGAAATTTTCGTAAAAATCAAGTTTGGGAGCCACTGATTCACACTTATACGATAACACGTTAAGCAAATACGTTTTTTAGATCTACAACCAAAATAGATCTCAAGCATTAAAATTGCGACTGAGAGAAATATTTATTTAATGCTCGAATCTCGTTTACAATGGTTATTATTTATTAATGTTTTAATCCAATAATAATAGGGAGATACGAGCATATCAGTAATTTTTTTGTGATATTTGCTCCGATGATACGTCTACAAGGATTTTTTTTTATCAAAATTGTAATATCGTAAAGTTTAAATACCAGACGCTATTCATATTTATATGAATAGTACATTGTATAATAATACGGAATGAGTATTTAATAATGGACATTAAGATATTAGTATGAAAATTTACGACACGAGACGTACTTAGGCGATCAATACGAGGGGTAAAGTATTTCCATGAATTTAATAACAATAACAAAACATTTATTGCCCACAATATAATGCAATTTTATATGTGTATATAAATTATACATAGCAAAGATCAGAATACAATGGCCCAAATTGGTTCAGACGGGGATAATCTGTACTCCTGGTCTTCCACCAAAGCCAACATGATATAAAAATTTCCTGTTAAGATGGCTAACTAAAATGATAGAAAAGGTTGAAGACATTGCTAGAATAGAAAGGTAAAAGAGACCAACAATTGACAACCCAGCAAACACAAACATGTGTCATTTATGTATCATTTACATGTACTAGTTCCGTGTTACATAACAAAGTAACTTACATGTTACATAATAACTCACGTGATTACTATGAAAAATTACCTAATTTTGTTATATAGCAGGTTTCTTATATGTGATGTAATGGGTTAAGTACATGTAAGGAACAATGTTATATATCGGAAGACATGTAACATTTATAATACCATTGTAACATTTAATATGCTTCATTATTACAGCACATATACATTACTTTTTTCATTAGTATTATAAATGTTATATAAATGTTATATAAATGTTATATAAATGTTATATAAATGTTATATAAATGTTATATAAATGTTATATAAATGTTATATAAATGAGGGTATGTAAATGTGTCGTCTCAAAATGTAGGTATTAGTTATACAGTATGTCTACTTATTATTGGTAAATTTATTCTTGGTAAAAAGTTCGGCTTGGTCCATAACTTAAAATGCAACCGTCAGATATCAATTTATTTAAGCTGTATACGAGGTTTGTCTAAAAATATGAATTTTACTCAAGAGTAAAGTACCATTATTTTTTACAATACAGCAGAACATTATAAAGTAAAGTTATTTTGAATTAAAAGTTATATTCAAATATGCAATTATAGTCATTTAGCATGAAAATTCAGGTTAGGTGATTATTTACGTTTTATATTATAAATTATTTATAGTTATAAAATGAATCACCAAACCTGAATTATAATGCTAAATGGCTGTAATTGTATATTTGAATATACCTTTTAATTCAGAATAACTTTACTTCATAACATTCTTGTGTATTGTAAAATATAAAGGTACTTATTTACTCTTGAGTAAAATTCATATTTTTTGATCTGATGGTTGCATTTTAAGTTTTGGACCATGCAGAACTTTTTATCAGAAATACAATTTTTCACAAAACCAATAATAAAAAAGTTTCCCATATGCGTCGAAAATATTTGGAGGATAAAGAAAAGTAATTTAAACGTATTTGTTAGGTATGTCAATAATTTTATTCGTCAAATTCATAACTGAAACCAAAAATGTATTATAAAAATATTGCACACAAATATAGTAACCCGAATTCATCATAAAAATCACAAAATATCTGCTATTAAGGACGATCCACGTGTAAATTTTTAAGATAAAACACACTGACTATAATTTTAGGGCCCAGTTTATGCACAACTAATTTTTGTTGAATTTCGTCCCCGATTCTTCTTTTTTCACGCTAATTACATCAGCCCTAGTAACAAATCATGCAGATGTCAGCCTTATCAGAGTTACCAGTTTCTAGGAAACCGCTGATTAGGACTTTATGCATTTTATCTAGTTTTCTCATTTTTAACATCATTATACATTCATTATTCTTGTAGTACATATCGTAGTTGTAGAATTTTAACATAGAAAAAATAATTAAATTTTTTAAAAAGCTATTTTCAATTTGAAAGTTTATTTTTGGCGCAGTCAGTAGGATATCTGGAATTGTCGCGTATCGAACGTGCTCGATTTTCGTCTCTACGATTAACCAGATATCGAACAATAAAACTGTTGTGATTCGCGAGTGCAGGTGTTGGATGTGGAGTGGCTCTCAAGAAATCGAGAAACCCAGTCTATCGAAGACCCATTGAAGAACCCCAAGTCGAATAGCAACGAGGATTGGAACAAAATCGTCCAGTTCTGCAAGGCTAACGAATTTTGGAAGAAAATTCGATTCCTTATATTTATAGGCAGGGATATGTCTATCGAATCACTATTGAATTCTTTAGAAAACCTAAGTATCGACAACACTTTAACTGACTCTGATAACTCTCAAGTTAATTTACTTGAAAATATAGATTCAAAAAATAATAATTTTTCGCTTCCTAACTTAACAAATAGTGAAACAAATTTAGAAAATTCGGAAGATATGGCCGAATTCAAGCCGGAATATTTGCATTGCGTGCCTGAATTCGACGGAAATCGGAACGAGTTCTATCGATATTTATCAGTTTGTGATTCAATCATTGCCAGTTTTTATATAGCAAATCAGCCGAATAATTTCCAAAATATATATATTAATGTTAAACTCACTTGTTTCCAAATTAAAAGGGAATGCCAGGTTAGTGGTGAACATTCAAAATGTCGCAACTTGGGAAAAGTTAAAAGATACTCTTACTAGAAATTTTGGAGACCAAAGGGATGAAGCTTGTTTAAATCGTGACTTAGTTTTGCTTAGACAAAACCCTAATGAACGACCTCAACAATTTTTTGACAGGGTGTTAAATATATTAAATCTCCTCTGTAGCTTTGTATATTTACATGAAGAAACTGTCGAGAGTAAAATACTAAAAAGGGAACTTTATAATAAATTAGCTTTAAAGACATTTTTGTCAGGTCTTAAAGAACCTTTAGGTACTACGATTCGTTGTATGAAACCTAACTCATTAAATAATGCGCTACAGTGTGTTTTGGAAGAAGATAACATACACTACTTTCAAAATTTTCAGAATAGAAATCTAATTAGACAACCCATTTCACAACCACGACAACAGCCAAGACAAAATTTTAATAATCAAAATTATCAAAATCGAAACTATTTCAATAACCAAACGAGCTTTATTCCTCAAAATGCAAATAATAATAATAATAATAATAATAATAATAACTACACGACACGACGTCCTTTTCCTACTGGACCCGTCCCTGTACAGCCTCAGGTCCCAAGAAATCAATTTTTTGCATCTAATTCACAAGTATTCAAATAAAATAGAAATATAAACGCCTTTAGACTAAACCAAATTCCAAATCAAAATTTACCTAGGTCCACGCCGGGTGCCAGCCAAAAACCCCGGCGACCAAATCCCCGGGACCAAATCCCCGCGACCAAATCCCCGGGAAAAAATCCCCGTGGACAAAATTCCCCACGACCAAACCCCCGGAAACAAGAATCCCCGGTGGCAAAATCCCCGGGGATAAAATCCCCGACGTCACAAAATACCCGTGCCAAAAAACAATGCAAAAAAATCGAAAAATATTATTCCATTAAGTTTCAAAACATGATAAAGCATGCTTATGCCCGATATACTCAGCCTTTCACAAAACAATTTTCACGATTAGCCGCGCTAGATATTATTCTTGATGTAATAATATTCTCGTGTATTTTTCAACTGTTATATGTCGTATATCAACGAAAATAGAAAATATACATAGCATAAATTATGCTCGCAGGTGAAACTGTAAGTAGGAAAAGAAAATTGTAAAAAATGGAAAATCGCTTTGTCGGTATTGGTGCAGGTTTTTGATTGCAACGACAAGTTATTGTTCCTCCATGGCGCTGCGCAAACTTTGCGATTATAATATTTCTTATTGTAATGTGTACATATTGTTTGTGTTAATTATCGAAATAAGATTTTTAGCTTTGTTATTAAGATAATTATTATAAATTTGTATTTATGTTCGATATTGGAATTATGAGTTTGTTAAAATAAAATTTCTGAGTTGTGCCAGTTTATGGTATTTTAAGCAATTATTTTTTGTATCCAAGGGGTTTTTTACCGGAATATATTTTTATTCAAGGGATTTTTGTTTCAGGGGATTTTATCGCCGGGGATTTTAGTTTCCGGGGATTTTGTCGCCGGGGATTTTAGTTTCCGGGGATTTTGTCGCCGGGGATTTTAGTTTCCGGGGATTTTGCCGCGCTGGGCATTTTGTCGCGGGGATTTTGATGGCGGAGCTTTTGTCGCTGGGATTCTGCGCCGGGGATTATGTCGGTAACCCGGTCAACGCCAATGAGTGTTTCGACCAGAAATACTTTTAATAACAGAGCACCTACCCGGGTTATGAACCAATACGGTAATGATCACCAAGGTCCTTCTAACCAAAATCAAACACCACGAATGAATTATATTGCGGAAGAACTATTTAATACTGACTGTGAACAAAATTTTTCGATAACTGATCCCTATAATAACCTACCTGACCAACATGTTGATAAAAGTTTTGACTATAATATTGAAACGGAAACACATGATCTAATTGACTTTTCTTAACCAGATTCAAATTTTCGGAACAAGCCTCGAAACAAACCCGTCACCTAAATTCGCAAATCATACTATTTCATGTAGTAAATCCAAGTGAATTACCATTCATTATCTTTCCCGAATATAATCTAAACATTTTGATAGATTCAGGCTCGTCGAAATCATTCATAAATCCAACAAAAGCTTACCAATTCTTTTCGAATAACATAAGAAACGATCCTTTTGTAGTATCAACTATTTTTCAGAAATCAGCCCACGAGTACAGCACATTGTTGCCAGCTTCCAAAATTTTTAATCTCCCACAGAAAACAAATTTAAAATTTTTCCTATTTAAATTTCATTATATATTCGACGGTTTAATAGGATTAGATTGATTTTAATAAAGGTTATTTACAAACTCCTTATGCAAAAATTAAACTGCTATACTACCAAACACAAAATGAAATAAATTTTATTAAAGTAGCTCCGGGATCAGAACAAGTTATAAAAATTAAAACGTCCATTCCAAATGGCAAAGTAATAATCCCCTACCAAAAACAAAAAAAATTGTGAAATACCAATATCATTAACGATTGCAAAAAATGGTCAAGCTATGACAACTATCTTAAATAAAACAACCGAAACCGTAACTCTAGATTTTTCGAAACCAGTTAACGTTGAAAAATTTGATAAGATAATCGTACAACAAATTGATTTAAATCATTTTGATGAAACCTCAAAACAAAACATAGATTTAACCAAATTTCGAACAGACCACTTAAATTCAGAAAAAAATTTTTAGGCTTATTAAAGAATATTCTGACATATTTTACCAAGAAAACACTCCATTAACTTTTACTAGTAAAATAAAACATCAAATAAAAACTAACGACGAAATCCCAGTATACTCTAAATCCTATAGATACCCATTTGTAGATAAACAAGAAGTAGAAAATCGAATAAAAAAAAATATTGGACCAAAATATAATTAGGCATAGTAATTCATCCTGGTCATCCCCTATTTGGGTGGTTCCCAAGCGTCTTAACGCGTCAGGAAAACAAAAATGGAGGGTTGTAATCGACTATAGGCGTCTTAATGAAAAAACAGTCGATGATCGGTACCCCCTACCTAATATAACCGACCTTCTGGATAAGCTAGGGAAATGTCAATATTTCACGACGCTAGATCTTGTAAGCGGCTTTCACCAAATAGAAATGTCGGAACAAGATATTGAAAAGACCGCATTTAGTACAGAGCAGGGACACTATGAGTATCTTAGGATGCCTTTTGGGTTAAAAAATGCCCCTGCTACATTCCAACGTGTGATGGACAACATCCTCCGCGGTATCCAAAACGAAAAATGTTTAACATATTTAGACGGCATAATAGTGTTTTCAACCTCTTTACAAGAGCATATAGATGCGTTTTTCAAAGACTTCGTGATTTAAACTTTAAAATCCAGTTAGATAAATCCGAATTCTTGCGGAAAGAAGTGGCATACTTGGGCCACATCGTAACACCTGAGGGGGTACGCCCAAATCCGGATAAAATAATAGCCATCAAAAATTTTCCTATCCCAAAAACTACCAAACAAATAAAAGGATTTTTGGGACTATTGGGTTATTACCGTAGATTTATTAAAAACTTCTCAAAAATTACTAAACCACTTACTAACTGTTTAAAAAAGGGCGCAAAAATTGAAATTAACGACGAATATATATCTTGCTTTGAATATTGTAAAAACCTGTTGATGAACGAACCTATTTTACAATACCCGGATTTCTCCAAGCCATTCAATTTAAATAGGGAAAGTACCAAGTATGACACATCGTGGGAATGGTAATTTTGTGGAGAATTCAGCAGTATGAGTTCCGTTTAATTTTAGCGCCCTCGAGCGGGATAAAAAATTATTGCCTACGGTAAAGTGTAACACTTTATTTGAAAGCTAATTTTATTAGTAGGCTACAACCAAAAATATTAAAAATAAAGGCTTTTTTTATTTCATTGAAGGCGTAACACCTTCAGTTGTACAAAGAAATGGGGTACAGTTAGAAGTGTTACAATATCTCGATGATTTAAGAAAACATATTACGATGCTAGATAGCTACCCCTTGTATTTTTTAAATATAATAAGGGTATCACATAATTTTTGACGAGAGTTGATTACCGCACCGAATGTAAATAAAATGTGTAGTTTTATCTTTTTGATTAAACGGCCCCAGACTAATGATTCCCGGTTTGTGTAGTATAATTAGGTAAAATATAAAAGTACCTGTGCGTAGGTACACAAAATTTTGTATTTTAGTTCCAAATCAATAAACTTTTAAAAGTTCACATTAACTTACCTGTTCCATTTTTTATACTACTTGTCGATTTTGGGTGAGATTACAGAAGCTCTGCAAGTAGTACTTAAATCTGCAAATATCAGTTGCAAAAGAGAAACATGGTATTACAGGAACGTGTTTTCACTTTTTGCGTCTGCAAATCATCTGTAACTTTGCAGAAGCTAAGAACATCCTACAAACTTGCTGATTGTTAATTTTTACTTTACTTTTTTTTAATAACCATGAAGTATTCTATTCCTTTTGATTGAATACAGTTCGTGGTGTCAGATTATCGAGTTTCTAAACATAATAATGCGGATTTGCAGATATTTTTTTGGTAAACGAAAATTTGATACTTGCATCTATAAGTCCACCATATTTGCAGGTCTGCAAAGAAAAAGTTCTGGCGACGCCCATGTCTACAGTTTAGTGCTTGGATACTCTTGTCACTTATCTATTAATTTTTCATTTTTTTTAGATTGTTTTTTTTTTTCGCCAATTATTGACCAAAAATACTAACAGCCGTATGCATAGTCGATCGCCAGCGACTCGCAAGAGATTCATTTTGGCGTATCGCCAGCGATTCGCTGGCGATTCGCCGGCGAAAGCCCAAAAAGCTGGCGACTCACCGGAATGTCATTTCACGCAAGTTTTTATTTTCTTTTATAGGGATTATCACCGGTATCTCTCGCATTTTATTCATGATTCATTTCTTAAAACTCAAAAAATAATGAACAAATATCAAATTTTTCCATATAAAAGAACATGAAAACTTGCGTGAAATGATATTCCGGTGACAATCTCCGGCGAGTCGCAAGCTTTTTGGACTTTCGCCAGCGGATCGCCAGCGAATCCTGGCGATACGCCGAAATGAATCTCTGGCGAGTCGCTGGCGATCGACTATGCATACGGCTGTAAGTTATCATGGACATGACTCGTATCACTGTTGTTATTTTACACTTTAAAAATTCCCGGACTACATTAAGTTCAACGCCCCTTTACTATAAGATTAGGTATAATATATTTTTTCTACAAAGACTGTGCAAAGTAGGCTTCGGTACATTCAAATCTAAATGGAAAGCTGACGTTTTTCGCGATTTGTCATAATTTGACAGTATTGGCAATTGGCATATTTTCATTATAAAGGCAAACGGTATTAAAATTAAACAAAATGTAGACTAATCTGAATATCTGATATTCAAGCCCATGTCCTTAAATATTTAAACGATAATTGAAATATTAAAAATATTTTTTTTTACTACTAACATGAGAAATCACCATTATTTACCCCATTCCTCTAATGAGAAGTAATATTTCTCTCCCTAGGTAAATAATGATAATAAAAAAAAACCTAGGTAAATAATGAAACTAAATTTCATTAGTTTCATTTTGTTAATTTGACAACTAAACTCCCAGACTACTTGATATTTTGAAATATTTGAAAAATAAGTAGGAAATAACTAAAGCTGGGTTTATTAAAATCTAATCAAATCAAATATGATAATATATATCAGTGTTAATAGTAAAAATATATATTAACTAGGAAATTCAACACCGGCTTTAAAAATTATTAATTAATAACAATAAAACCATGTCATTAAAATATCAAAAATGCAATGGGATATTTCCTAGAATCATACCAAAATTTGACACATGCCAAATTTTTACATAAATAAAGCCAGTCTGATTAGAAACACGCTCCAGTCTGCTTGATATTTCGAAATATTTAACAAATTGTTAGGAAATTACTTATATCAAAATTAAAATTGCTAATACATTAATGTTAGTAGTAAAAAAAATTCTATATATACCTCGGCTGAGAAAGCTATTATTTACCTCGCACATTATATCCCTCGGCGCTACGCGCCTCAGGATATAAAAGTGCTCAGTAAATAATAGCTCACTTCTCACCCTAGGTATATAATGTACTATTTTTTTTGTAAATTACTCTATTTTCAATTAGCAGGTAAGTAGGCAACACAACATACACATAACACACTGTTAGAATAAACATTGAAGCAAAACTTGGATTCGGTAATATCGTGTGATTGATTATATGAGTATAAAAACTTCTTGTCTGTAATTCGAGCGGAAAGCTATTTACCGCTTTTAATACACAAATAGTTACTGTTTCTATTTGTTTATTTAAAATAAAATGGCTGCTGAAAAAGGTACCACCATATTTATTTGGTATTTTAACTTTTAATCCTAAATTCTTCATACAAACATTATAAATAATAACTAGGTGTCCTGTGAAATATCTTGCAGAAATGTGAAGATAAATAACCTGTATTTATGGAATTCATTAATAAACGTTTAAAATTATCTGAACTAAACGAGTAAAGGTTAAAAATAAAGTAAATAATATTTACGTACGTTATTTGTTGCTCATAAATCCACTTATTTTCTACGAGAATAGGAACACTTTCCGATATAAATCCACTACCGGATGGGTACCTACCTACATTTAGCTAAAATCACCAAATTTAGTAAATATAGATAAGTATTTTAGTTTTCAACAACATAGCTATTTAAAAACAATCTGCTGAATGTTCCATAATTTAAAGTCACTTATTAAATACTGCATTGTATATTGATAAGATTGTTTAAAGTTAGCCTTTTTGTTATACGAGGTGATTTTGAGAAGTAACAAATAACAACCGGATATCTTGTATCTCTTAAATTAAAAATGTTTTTGTCTTGTTATGTTGACCTTTAAAAAATGTTTAAATACCGAGTAGCCCAAATAGATAATTGTACAAATTTTTACTCAATTTTATTTAATATGGAGTCTTCATTATTACCGGTATCCCACGTGATTAAATTGATGTTGTCAGTTGATGGCTAAAAGTCACATTAATAACTTCAATAGTAAACCTAAAAGAATGCCGCCGATATATTTGACAGAACTGATACTTAAATTGTGTGACGGCCCACCCCTGCCCCCCTCTTTATTTTTTTTCTGATTATTTTACTCTCTTTGATATGTTAATATTTACCTCATAAGTTTATTTTACTTTAAATTCTATACTTACTGTAATTGGCCTTATTCCTCTAGTAGTAAAAATGATCGTCTAGTTAATTATATGATAATTTATATACCCACGTTGTGATAATGTTAATTAAGGTAAACCAGGATTCGATGCAAAGTTTGGTGCAAATTGATAAATAAAACATACAAATTCGTATGTTTGCTATATATAAGTTTGCGTTTCCTAGTTGAATATGAAGAAGAAAATTTTCGATCGGAGTGATCTGTATATCGGAAGATGTACTATGTATTTGGTATACATAAATTACTTGTAGAACTTGTACTTGGAACAGCGTCGTTATCAAAAGGGATTTCATTTTCGTCGATATCCTGTAACAATTTTTCTAAATTATTTTTTGGCTTTCTAACAATACTTTTATGATAAGTACCTTTATCTGTTTTTAATAAAATACCTTTATCTTCAATGACATTTGCCTTTTTAAATTTTGATAATTTTTTATTTCTCGATTTTGTTTTTACAAAACATGACTGTTTAGAATAGTTATCTGGTTCAGATCTCTTTTCATTTAATTTGTTTATTAAATTCTCTTTTACTTCCTCATTACGTTGTTTAATTTTATTATACATCTGTTTACTGATTTGCTTATGATTTTGTACATAATTAGAAATTATTAAGTGATCGTCTAAATCAAAGGGATCCGGATTATCAATGTGACCTTTTATTATTTCAAAGGGTGTGAACTTTGTCACTGAATGTATACTATTATTATAACAAAATACAGAATTTTTAATTAGTCTATCTGGTGTAAAATGTTTGTTTTCTTCTTGTAAACATCTATAATGTTCTAATAGACTTGAATGAAATCGTTCTACTGGGGAATTTGAATTACTATTTTTTGCGGTAGTGATACGTAATTGGATATGGTGCAGTTTACAAAAATCTTCTAAATCGAAATTTTTAAATTCTGTTCCACTGTCGGTAGTAATTTTTTGTGGTAGTCTGTGATGTGAAATAAATTCTAAGAGTTTTTCTACGATTGATATTCCAGTTATACTATCTAAGGGATAAGCGAAAAAGAATCAATTATAGTCGAATAAGATTTATTAGAAATGTAAAATGTATCTAAATGTATGTGTTCAAAGGGTTTTGATGCAGTGGGTGTCAAATTAAATTTTAGTACTGGTGGATTTCGATCATATTTATTCTTTAAGCACATCTCGCAGTAATTAATGTAACTTTCAATATCATTAGCCATTTTTGGCCAATAATATTTAGTACTAAGTGATGATTTCACTTCGTTTATACCTCTATGACTAGATTTGTAAATATGATAATATTAAAGTTTTTCTTCTTGTTCCTCTTTTGTTTAAACATCATTTAAAATTTTAGTACAATGATAAAGCTTAAAAGCAGTATGTTTAAATGTATTTTGGAGTGTTACAACAAAAATTTGTGGCAATGAATCGTTTTGAAAATATAAACCATAACTTTGTTTTGGGTCCATATATTCTTTAATAAAATTTATTATATTATAAGAATTAATAATAATTTTTGGGAAAGTCACATATATTCTTGTATTTTCGATACATATAGGAATTATTCTTATTTCTTTGAAAATTCTGAAAATATCCAGTGTTTTGTTTATTATAAAAATTTGAATTATGTTTTGACATATTTTTTTCATATGAATTATTATTATTATTATACAAGATTTCAAAATTTTCAAATTCAGAAACATAAGCAACAGCTTATTCTAGCGTCTCTGGCTTTTTTAAATGCATATTATTTTTTAGTATTCCCGTACATCCTGCAACAAATGTATTTAGAGCAGTTTTAGCATAATGATTACTTTGAATTTGTTTTTCCATTGGGGTTAAATTTGGATCATTACTTATTCTCTGAATAACACTACTTCTTAACAACTGTAATCTACTCGCAAAATTTATTAAATGTTCACCTTTTAGGGGTTTACTACGCGTCAATTCTTGCACTAAGCAATTTAAATCTCTTCGATCGGAGAAACATTGTAACAAAGCATTTTTTAAACCTATCCAAGTATTAATTTCAATTCTGTTTCCTACCATTATCTCAGCTTTTCCTACTAATTTTTCTTGGATACAGTCTATTATATGTACATCCTATTCTGGGTCATTATATGTTCGATAAGTATCAATTAAACTTTCATATCTATTTATAAATTTATTTAGTGAATTACTATCACCATAAAAAGTTTTTGTTATCTATTTTGGACTTAAAAAGGTCCCAATTCACTTGTCTACGTTCAACTACTGGGGTTGTCATGATTAAATTACTTTCTACACTATCTAGTGTATTATCTTGTAACGATATATTTGCAAATTGCTCAAACAAAGTATTAATTTCTGATTCACTCATAAAATATAATCAAAATAAAATATAAAATAGTTTCAAAATTATATAATAGTATAATCTTTTTAATACCCTTAAATTAAAGAAAAGGGAAATTAAAAGATATTTGGCATTTACTATTTTCTTCAATTGCTTTCTTATTGTCGTTTCGGATATCCCACCATGGGCTGATGTCCAATAATCGACGATTGGATGTTAGACTGTCGCCACAAAAGGGATGACTTGTGGACGTCACTTTCTTCGTTAGGAACCACACTTGAGGAATTAAAATTCCAAAGTCACGAAAAGTTAGTATTCGGTCCGGCAACAGCAAACTCGATTAAACTTTTTCACGACTCGCGTGTATCCTACTGACTGCGCCAGTTATAAATTCCAAAATGGAACTTTTATTTTTAAAATTTTTTATTAAGTATAAAATACACTTAAATGGATATTTGTACTAAAGCTACTTCAATTAACGGCTTCAAATAACAAATAACGAATAACGCACAAGTTCAAATAACAAATAGCTAGAGTCAAATAACAACAATAATAAGGTTCTACTCCTATTTATAAAGTAAAACTGATTATTAATCAAAGATAATATATAAAAGAGTCTATTATATTCTCAATATATAACTGGAGTGCAGTATTCTAATTTGCAGAATACACCTTGTTGGTGGAATGTAAATTGGAAGTATTGTTAACGTGGTTCTCTGTGCGTGCCAGTTTATTTTGTTGGTATTTTGACCATAATAATTTGTATTATTAAAGTGCAACATTGCGATGTGAAACATACTTCAACTGATTAGACTACAAAAGTCCAAGAAAAACTGCATTTATTCGACTAACGTAGATATTTTAGTTTAACGTTTACATCTTTTATGGAATTATATCCTATTTATTCCACCAAGGTAACATTTGTGTTAATAAATAAAGTTGTGACTATTTTTAATATCAATGGCATACACCACTTAAAATAATGATGGGAGATGATTATAAGTGCAATATATTTAAGCTTACTAAATCTGATGGCTATGCTGGATGCGAAGGTGTCTGCTCAAAATGGTTCCACTACTCTTGTGTCGGTCTAACTAATGGTGAGTTTTCGATGCTTTCAAAAAGTAAAAAATTTATATTTTCTATGTGAACTTTGTAGACGTAAATGCAGCATTGTTCAAGAAAAATCCCTGTCTGACCATAATAATAGTCTGAAATCAATTGACGAACGTTTATCTGACATTTGCAATTTAGTTCAAAAAACCATCCAGGAAAAGTTAGATGAGCTCTCTAGCTTCAAAAACGAAATTGTCGATATTGTAAAAATAGAGATTCAAGAGAAGATTTCGCTTAGACTCGATGACTTTTCTTCCAATTCTTCAAACTCTAAAACGTCTAATTTTAGTAATAAAGTTTCATACTCGAAAACAGTTGCTAAGCAACCTTCTTATGTAATTATGCCTAAGACAAAACAAGCTACCTCAGTCACGGAAACTGCTAGGATATGATTCAAAATATAAACCTTGTATCATCTAACATCAACATCACTAAAGTAGTTAACGTTCGAGATGGTGGTATAATGGTTAGATGCGAAAACTCTGATGAAAGTACCAAATTTAAAAAGTTAGCAGATGAGAAGCTGGCCAATGACTACACAATCAAAGAAGTTCCTGTACTAAATCCTCGTTTCAAGGTTGTCGGTATCTCTGAAAATCTTTCTGAAAATGATTTTATAAATGTTATTAAAAGCCAGAACAAAAATGAAATCTGTCGAGATGGTAATTTAAAAGTAATCTCCCAATTACCTTTGAAAAGGAATAACAAACTTTTCCAAGTCATATTACAGTCAGATATTAATAGTTATCAAAAGGTAAATTATTTGTTTGCTACGATTAATGTAATGTTTTTGACGCCATTGAGGCTAAGGCGGTGCTTCAAGTGCTGTCGTTTATATTTGTCCATTATGTGCTTAAAATCATAAACTCAGTGAATGTCATAAACCCAGCAATAAGTATTGCATTAACTGCCATAACTTTAACAAAACTGCCGTAAATCCGATCCCCGTAAATCATTCTGTTCTGCAATATAATGAGTGTCATGTATATAAAAAAAAAACTCTGAATGAATTTAGATCCAATATTCTGTCTCCCAAGTAGCAACCAGATCGAGCACATCCTATTTCAACCATTATTAATGAAAGTAAATGTACTGTCTAACTTTTTTTTTTCTATCAGAATGTTTGTGGCACTCGTA